ATAGCTTCGTCTATTGTAGTCTGTTCTTGAAAGCGTTCATGCTCGGAGCGTCAATGATTTTAACTCCGTTATAATGATCACAATGGAAATTCAATCACAATTCACTTAATTAGGATCCACTGGTCTAACATAACTTTATTATCAAGTGACCGGGAGGTTCGGGTATATTCGCATGTAAATTATAATTCCATACAATTGTTTGTTAATCATTGTAATCTTAATATAATGATAGAAAACAAATTATCATAATAACTATTGTTTGTTAATCATTATATAATTAATTCACCATCCTTAACATTACATTTTGGGTTAAGTTTATTTTGATCGTGAGACGTCGTTACACGATCAAAACAAAAAAGTGAAAAAGCTCAGCCATGACAAGAATCGGCAAAAGGCCTCGTGGCCTAATATGCAACGCTGGCAAAAATGTCATCGTAAAAAACATACAAAAGTAAAATGAATGCAAATGAAGAGAGTACGTAGAGCTTTATTTTCTCTTTTGTATTCCTAATGTAAATACGAACCCACGTGATTCAATGGAGAAGAAATATTTTTGAACGAGGTGTCGAAATTGAGAAGTCGGAACTCTATCCCACCCCGAGTATTTTGAACATGTTTCAGCATCCAAGGCAAGTTTCAGTTTATACAACTCATAATTTTCCAAGTTTCCCAAGCAAGGTGGACGTCTCATCCTCAGTGATCAACGCAATGATTTAATTTACACTTTACAGTGTAAAAATAAACTCTAACAACGAAATCAAACCAACGAAATCAAATCAAATGCAATGCTTTGAAGTACAGTATACCAAATTGGATCATAAAAACTCTGACAACGAAATCAAAAGCAATGCTTAATGCACAGTATGTCAAAATAAGGCGTTTACTTATTCACTCTTAAAGTGCGGTCATGTATGTCAACCTTACCAAGTTGATGAGTGACAGCAACATACTAGGGTACATGATCAGCATGATTTTTGGTCCTCGCATGTCATTGCGTATAGAGTGAATATTTTTTGGAAAAGTTGAGAACAACTTATTTGAATCGCTTTCATGAATCCTTTTACATATAGATAAGGAAAATAAATCTGAATCACCATTTTTCACACCTGGTGAGTCTTCCAGAAGAAGCAAATCACCAAATCTTTCTCTGAACGCGCATAAATTAAGAGAAAGACAAACTGTGAATTAAAATGTCATTTGCAGAATATTAATCCCACTTAGTGTCATTTTATTCCACGAAAAAATCTTTCATATGACGATATCACTGATCTTTATTTTTCTGTTTTTCTTCTTCTTTTTTTGAAATAGTAGAGCGAGATGCCCCTATGACTGCGGCAGCTATCTTGATGACCCCAGCTCTAGCTTGAGCGGCTGCTCCGCCCACGGGCCCGGCCCCAGCCGCATTTCCACCTGCAGACAAAATTTCTTCTGCAATCTGCAAACGTGCGATCAATGCAGATTTCTCGTCCGCCCTCATTTCCTCGTTCTTGATGTTTTTTTTCTGTTTTTCTATTTTTTCTTTTTCTTTTTTTGAAAGATATGAGCTAACTTCCCCTATGACTGTGACTGCTGCCTCGATGACCTCAGCTACAGCGGCTGCTCCGGCCTCGGGCCCGAACCCATCCGCATTTCCAGCTGCAGATAAATTTTCTTCTACAATCTGCAAACGTGCGATCAATGAAGATTTATCGTCCGCCCTCATTTCCTCGTTCATGATGTTTTTTTTCATTTTTTTTATTTTTTCTGTTTCTTTTTTTGAAATATGAGAGCGAACTTTACTTATGATTGCGGCAGCTGTAATGAGGACCCCAGCTCCAACTGCAGTGGCTGCTCTGGCCGTGGGCGAGAATCTCACTGCTGCCATGGCCCCGGCCGCATTTCCAGCTGTTGACAAAATTTTTTCTGCCTTCTTCAAATCTGCGATCAATGCAGCTGTCTCTTCCGCACTATTTGCCACGTTCTTCAGAACATAGGTCCAGAATTGTTTTTCAACGTTCTGAAAAAAAAAAAGTTTTTCATTATGATTGCAACTTCGTTCAGTTCAATCAGCCAATTTTTTAGTCCACAGTATTAATGTATTTCGAAATCTCGTGAAAATTAAAGGGTTATTATTCATGAGCACACATTAACGGCATTGCAATGCTACTCTCATAAAAAATGAAACCTTAGATAGCTACAAATATAAGGAAAAGTTAATAGACTCTTAAGCTAACTAGATTGTAAAGAAGCTTTTCACGTTTAATTTAGCTGCAGATTGGCATTATAGAGGAAAATTATTGTAAGTGATAACCCAAGTAGACGGTGTGTTGGCAACGAAAGAATGGGGGTCGTTACTGATACACCTAAATGGCAAATAATAATTTCTGAATGTGCATTATCTTCATATTTTCAGTATTAACCATAAAAACATGAGAGAAAATAATTTTTTCAGTGCGGCTGTGCCAATATATGAAGCGGGAGATGAAGTTGGTTCATAGCTTTAATCCAATAATTATAACAACTTTGTTTTTCGAGGTTTAACCATCACCTAACAATAACAAGACAAAAATTTGGACAATCACGACAGTGATGCAATGTGTAAGATTTTTGTGAATAATTTTAGATGATGATTGAAGACACTCAAGTTTCATCATATTTTTCTCTGGACGGACAGTTTAACTCGTCCTGGGCTTTAACTTGCTATGGAGATTATTTTCTTCAGTTATACTGTAAAACGATCAGTTGCATGTAAAAACAGTAATAAGTTATAAAACAACCATAGATACGATGAACTCGAATTCTTAACCAAAAATGTTCAGCCCCACAACTCATCACTCAATTGGGACTGTCGTGAATCTGGACGTGGACCTTGCATGCAGGCTTGCACGATGCAAACCACAGGAAGCTTTCTTTTCATCGAGTTCTTCAAAACAATAAGTAGCTTCATCAAAACAAATTAATGATCAACCACAAATCGGTAATAAATCTAAGTAATTAACTAAAAGCGTTTGGGAGTGGCTAAAATAACGTTGACAAGCGTTGACGGTCAAAATTCACACAATTATAGTGTAGTTAAACGACGTTTGTGGTTAGACCGGTTATGCGTGATGCTGAAGATATTTAAGAACGATCGTGAGTATTTAAAGATTCAGTTGCGTGGTCACATCATTGTAGGCAAATTTTAGAAGTTACCGCTCTTTTTTGCTCAACTTGACGAATATTATCTTCTATTTTTTTAGAAACGTAAATCCAGAACAACCTTGCATCTATGTGATCACTAAATATTCAAGTGTCGCTCACATAGCGTTATGCTGCCTCGGGTGTATGGATGTGACATCTTTGTATGGATGGATGGATCGGGTGTATGGATGTGACATCCACACATTGTAACATGTACTAGATCATGCTTGGTCATTTGAAACTTCCAAATTCTTACATCTACATAGTCTGTAGAAAGTTGTCATTTCTCCTATAATGATTATCATAAAAATCCAGTCACAGTTAATCTCATATTTTTATGAATGTCGGTCAAAAATGATCAATGATCAAAACTAGTTCGCATCTGAAGGTTCAAATTCCTAAAGATAAAATAGAATTAAATCATTTACTTTCCCGTTACATCAGAAAGAATTTTACCCTAGACGTGGAAACTATTGCTGAACTCTTATGATAGCACGAGTTTCAATAGGCAGTTCCCGCACTAACGTTTTATTAAAAAATTCTAAAGAAGTGTTAAACTAGTAATGATCAGCATTCCATCTGTTAATTTCTCTTTTTTGGCCGTTTAACAGTTAAATTATAGTGCGAATTGGTCCTTTCGTTTTCTACTCTACATGATATATGATCGCCGCGTTCTTTGCCCGGCTCTCAGAGGACTTAAATCGCTCTTGAATTACAAATCCATGCACATCATGGATTACCAATTTTCTGACATCATGGATTACAAATGATTGAATCGTCTGATATCATACATTACGAGTCGCCTGACATCTTGGATTACAAATCGTCAGACATCATGGATTACACAACATCGGACATTGTAGATTACACTTCTTTGATTCACGATCGATATCACGGCTTTGCAACCTGGTATATACAATTTATGCGTCGGCTGGTATCACCGATCACGCGCGCCAGCATGCTCATATAACGCCATTGCCGCACATATCTGCCACCTATTCAAACAAATCGATAATATTTATTGATAGAAATTATTGCCTCTGCGCTCCATGCCTTATAAGACAATGCATGCATTTGATTGTGTAAGCACAATCATCATATCTGTCCACAATCTGGCCGCGAATATACACAGCCCAATTACTCAGAGTGTTCGGTCAGCGATATTATGAGTACATAATTGCACTTTCGCTGGCTTTGACTCACCTTTTCAAGGCTTTTCCTAACTTCAGCTGCAATTGCAAACAAAGCGCTGTTGCTGGCGTACTGGTTTGCCTTGTCGTAAGCTGAAATTGCATCGTCTTTTGACTCTGAATGATAGCTGTCTAGAAGAGAATCTTCTAGAGATCTTTTATGGGATTTAATTTTTATGTCCATTGTTCTTTTGTAAAGCTCATATGCCATCTTGAGGGTCTCATCGCATTTGTCGCGCCCCATCATCTGAAAAGGAAATGTTGTAAGTAAGTTGTTCTCGAAAAATTTACAATTTGAAAGCTCTCGTAGAATGTTTATTTAAATATAGTATATCTTAATAGTTAACCATAAATTGAGTACATATATCGTATTAAAGTGTTAAGTCTCAATTCGTAGAAGACCGAGAATTTTGACAATAATTTAATCAAGCTCAACACGCAGCACAATCTGGACTTCCAAGCAAAGTCGCCCACCTTTATTTCGTTGTTCTTCTGAACGTAGGTCCCGAAGTGTTCTTCAATGTTCTGAAAAAATATTGCTCATTACGGATGCAACTTCATTCACTTCCTTCAGACAAATTTTACTCAACAGTTACTGAAGTATTTTGAAATTTCGAGTAAATTGAAGGGATATTATTCATGAGCACACGTTCAGGCATTACGATGCTACTCATTATGAAACCTTAAATAGCTACAAATAATTAGAAAAGTTAATAGACTCATAATCGAACTAGATGGTCATGAAGCTTTTCAGGCATAATTTAGCTGTAGATTGGCATTGTAGAGGTCAATGACTCTGAGTGATTGGCACTGTGGAGGTAAATAATGGTGAGGTCCATGTGAGCTCATTTTGAGGCCACTTAAGGCTGAATTATGAGGTCAATTAAGGCGAGGAGACAGCATTGTGGAGGTAAATGATGGCGAGGAGACAGCATTGTGGAGGTCAATGATGGCGAGGAGACAGCATTGTGGAGGTCAATGATGGCGAGGAGACAGCATTGTGGAGGTCAATGATGGCGAGGAGACAGCATCTGTCTCTTATACACATCTAGATGTGTATAAGAGACAGAGACAGCATTGTGGAGGTCAATGATGGCGAGGAGACAGCATTGTGGAGGTCAATGATGGCGAGGAGACAGCATTGTGGAGGTAAAGGATGACAATGTCGGAGCAGATAACCCAAGTAGACGGCGTGTTAGCAACAAAAGAAGGGGGGTCGTTACTGATGCTCATAAATGAAAATAAAAATTTCTGAAGGTGCATTATTTCCATATTTTTGGGATTAACTATAAAATCATATTGGAGCAAATAATTTTTCATTGTGGTTGTGCCAATATATGAGGATGGAGAAGAAGGTGATTCAGAATTTGAATCCAATAAATATATCATCGTTGCTTCTCGAGGTTTAATCATAACTTAACTATAACCAAGGCAAAAATATGGACAATCACAACAATGATGCATTTGCATGATTATTGTGAGTAGTTTTTTAAGATGATTGCTGAGACTCAAGTTTCATCATATTTTTCTACGGGTAGTTTACCTCGTCCTCGGGTTTAACATGCTATGGAGATTATTTGGTTCAGTTATACGATCAGTTGCACGTATAAGCAGAAATAAGTTTTAAAACATCCATAAATGAGATAGAATTCAATTTCTTAACGTAAAAATGTTCAGCCCTACAACTCATCACTCAATTGGAACTGTCGTGAATCTGGACGTAGACCTTGCATGCAGGCTTGCACGATGCAAACCACAGGAAGCTTTCTTTTCATTTAGTTCTTTAAAACAATAAGTGGCTTTAAAAAAACAATTAACGATCAACCACACATCTTTGATGAATCTAAGTAATTAACTAAATGTGTTTGAGAGTGGCTAAAATAACGTCGACTAGCGTTTGACGGTCAAAATTCACGCAATTATAGTGTAGTTAAACGACGTTTGTGGTTAGACCGGTTATGCGTGATGCTGAAGATATTTAAGAACGATCATGAGTATTTAAAGATTCAGTTGCGTGGTCACATTCTCGTAGGCAAATTTTAGTAGTTACCGCTCTTTTTGCTGAATTCTATGAATATTTATCTTCTACTTTTTTTAGAAATGTAAATCCAGAACAAACTTGAAGCTTTGTGTGATCACTATATATTCAAGCTTCGCTCACATAGCGTCATGCTGCCTCGGATGTTTGACATCTTTGTACTCTCTCATGTTCATTTCACACATTGTAACATGTCATGCTTGCATGGTCATTTGAAACTGTCAGCTGCCAAATTCCCCATCTACATTATATTAAGAAAATTGGCATTTTTCCTGTAATGAATATCATATAAATCTAACATTTAATCACCTATTTCTTATGAATATCAGTGAAAAATTACCAATGATCAAAACTAGTTCTTATCTCAAGGCTTACATTCCTGATAACTTAAAATTAAATCATTTAATTTCACGTTATCTCAGAACGCATTTTGCCCTACACGTTGAAACTAATGCTGAACTGTTTGTAAAATTGTTTGTAAAAATTCTAAAGAATTATTAAACTTGCAATGATCTGCATTCCATCTGTTACTTTCTCTTTTTAGCCATTCAATAGTTAAATTATAATACGAATTGGACCTTTCGTCTTTTACTCGACTTTGATGGTTGATCGACGCGTTCTTTGCCCAGCTCCCAAAGAACCTGAATAGCTCTTGGATTACAAATCTTTGCACATCATAGATTACAAGTCGTCTGACATCTGGATTACACACCGTCGGACACCATGGAGTACGCATCTCCGAATCACTCAATATCATGGATTTGTAACCTGGTATATGCAATTTAAGCATCGGCTGGTATCACCGATCACGCGCGTGTGCAAGCTCATTTGACGCCATTGCAGCACATATCTGCCACCTATTCCAACAAATCTACAATATTTATTGATAGAAATTATTGCTTCTGCGCTCCATGCCTATAAGGCAATGTGTCAATCAGGCGCCTCATTCTATTCATTGTAATTGAGACGTAATATTCATTAGACGTGGTGGAGATTGATAGAAAAGTACTAGACCTGAGTCAGCATGGACAACATAACGTGATAGATCACGCGATCAGGGGCCATACTTGCAAAACTCGCTAAGTGAACGTAAGTACTTATGCTCTATTTTCTTGTCCATGATTGGTGGATTTGGCTTAAAAGGCCGTCAATGATTGGCGGATGAACTTACGATCTCTTAATTTTTTTTGAAAGTATAGGCAGGACCTTAGTAGTGGGCGGAAGCCCTGATCCTATAAAAGAGCTCGGAACCTTAGTAACGCCCCTCAGAAGCTGACAAGTACGCACGCCGAAATTTAACTCGCGTTAGAGTTACCCCGACCTAATGGCCGACAGCTTAGCCCTTTACCACTAGTTTAACTCGCATGTATATTATTATCATAAATATTATTATTCAACGAAGCATTTATCGTGGCATCTGGTTCAAACGAACTTCGAGGGCACGTCACACATAAGATTAATAGCAAGCGAAAAATTAATAGACACAGGAATGGATGGGAACGGATAAATGTCTCCAGTCTGAGACAGCGTCCATGAAGACAGACATTCGATCCTGCAACGCTGCGGCGTCAGCCGCTGCCCCGTACGTAGCCATAAATTTAGGCGTCGTATGCGGATTCAAACTATGAGAATCAATTATATGCAATATGTCGACAGTATATGACAGGACGAGGATCGGGCCGAAAACTGATCCCTGTGGTACGCCGCAAGTGACAAACGATGGCGTAGCAGAAGAATTCCCGCATCGAACGCATTGGAATCTATTTGTGAAATAGAGCTCGAACCACAGCAGCACTGTGCCGCGCAGGCCGAATAATACGTCAAGTCGGCGCCGCAAAGTGGCGTAGTCGACTGTGTCAAACGCGACCGACAGGTCGAGTAAAGCAAGTGCCGCAATATTGACGCGGTCAACTGAACGCAGAATGCCTGAAAGCACGTTCAGACTAGCGGCTTCCGTCGAATGGAGATGACAGTATGCAGACTGGAGGCGAGGCATGAGACCGGACTGCTGAAGATGGTTGTTCAGCTGTCGAGCCAAAACGAGTTCCAGGAGTTTCGATAAAATCGACAGGTTCGAGATGAGTCGACAACCACCCCGTATCAATGAGTTCTCTAGACAGATGGTGTCTTACTTATCCTTCACGAACTTAGTCTACGAATCCATGTTATGATCAGGTGGAAATATAATAAGTTTGGAGACGCATGAATGACTTCAGGACAAATGCATGCATTTCATTATGTAAGCACAATCTCCATATCTGCCCGCAATCTGTCCGCCAATATACACAGCCCAATTACTCAGTTCAGTCAGCGATATTCTGAGTACATGGTTGCACATTTGCTGGCTTTGACTCACCGTTTCAAGGATTACCCTGACTTCAGCTGCAGTTACAGACAAAGCGTTGTTGCTGGCGTACGGGTTTTCCTTGTTGTAAGCTGCGATAGCTTTGCTTTTTGACTCTAAGTGACAGTTTTTTAGAAGAGAATCTTCAAGACATCTTCCATGGGATTCGATTTTTAAATCCATTGTACTTTTGTAAAGATCAAATGCCTTTTTGCTGGTCTCATCGCATTTGACGCGCCCCTTTTTCTGAAAAGGAAATGCTGTAAGTAAGTTGTTCTCGCAAAATTTAACTGTTGAAAGCTCTCGTGAAACGCTCATTTAATTATATCATAACATAGTGACGTTGGCACTGAATTGTAGGCCTGACGTGGCCTGTCGCCGATTCTTGTACTTTTCGTGACTTGTTCACAGAAGATCTAAAATCGTGTCATTTGACCGGGGGCCATACTTTCAAAACTCGCTAAGTGAACGTAAGTACTTACGCTCTATTTTCTTGTCTCTGATTGGTGGATTTGCTGGAAAGGCCGTCAATGATTGGCTGATGAACTTACGATCTCTTACCTTTTTTTGAAAGTATGGCCCCGGATCTTTTCAGGACTGACGATAGTTTGAAATAGCAACAAGACTTCTAACGGGTTCGATATGGTGCTAGGCATTTCAAGTCTGAACATTTATTTTTCTATTGCTTTATCTTGTCTGTTCTTGAACGCGTTCATACTCGGATCGTCAGCGATGTAATCGGAGAGGCTGCTCCTCACCTGTCGGTGATTCGAAACGAGAAGAAATGTCGCGTGGATAAGTTGCAGCGCAGTTTTTTTGATAAAATAGCCGTGGCCCCTGGTGTTGGTTCTTGCATATAATTCTAGTAATTCTTCTGGGACCTTGTACAAACCATGAGTATACTTAAATACTTCAATGAGGTCCCCACGCAGACGTCGATAACAGAGGCTCGAGAGCTCCATAATCTTTAATCTTTCTTCATAGGACTTGCCCTTTACTAATGGAATTATCCTTGTTGCACGTCTTTGAACATTCCCAACTAACTTTTTGTCCTTTTTAAGTTTCGGTGACCACACAACGTTTCCAAACTCTAGATTCGGGCGCACGACAGCAACAAACAACTGCTTCTTCGCTTCTGCATCTAGGAACTCGTATGAGCGTCTGATCAGTCCAAGAAATATGTTGGATTTATTAGCTTGCAGATCAACATGCTTGGAAAATTTCAGCTCCTTGTCGGCATAAACTCTGATATCTTTTTCCACCCTCGACTTTACAATCATTACTCTCTCGTTGGAACCATGTCTTCTCATACTGTAATCTTGCTGTTCATTGTTCTTCCCGAGGTGAAGTACTTTACACTTCTTGGAGAGGATTCATCTGCCCAGTCTATTTCTGAGAGGTTAAAGTCACCGACGATCAACGTATGCGACCTGCTGAAAGTCATGTTCGGTTAAAGACTGTTTAGTACTTTATTGTTATCAGAGGAGCTGTTTGGTGATCTATAAAGGACCCCTATGAGGAGACTATCCTTGCCTTTTAGAGAAAGTTCGCACCACACGATTCTCCAGCTGATTGATGATCATGATTGATGTATATCATAATAGTTAATCATAAATTGAGTACATATGTCAAATTAAAGGTTTAAGTCCCTAAGTCTTAGAAGACAGAACATTTGGACAATAATTTTATTAAGCTCATCACCTCAACGAGGGTGGTCGGCAGATCGTCTTTATTCTCTCTGAAGGCCTCCATGTAGGTCTTGAAGAGGCGCACCAGCTCCTCCCCGGTGGCGAGCTGTCCTCGCCGCGCGGCTGAGCGCTTCTCCACGAGGCGCTCAGGCTCCAGCAGGCGAGGCACCAGCAGCTTCAGATGCTCCACGAATTGCTCGTTCAATTCTGTTCAGAAAATTACTCTATTGAAGAAAATACGAACAATTCAGTTCAGCCAACTCAGATTCAAATCGTCAAGAGCATGGTGGCGAGTTATCATAATTGATTTATTATTGATTATTCTATGAAGAAAATTTACGTAACGGTAATCTGAGGTCCCAACATAAAATGTTAACTTATCATTGCTACTAAGAATATCAAAAATTAAGTTCAGGAAAAAAGAGTAGCGTAAAGTAAATATTTATATTTTTTTATTTAAGGTACGCAGGTAATAATCTGAATATATCTGATATTGAATAATTTAAGTTATTAAAGAACTTTTCCCCTGTTGGAATACCCTCCCGCGTTAAGCTGTGATTTTGGGTAGATCAAATTATTCACAAATTTGCTATTAACATATTAACAAGGTAAATTTTAGTGTCCCAGCGAGCTCACGATTTAGTCGACCATCAAAGTCTTCATCATCGATGGCACGCATGCCAATGTGCGGCATGAGGTAGCACTCCAGTTCCTCGAAACTCTGGCGCAGGCCTTCTCTAAGTCGCTGGTGCGCTGGCTCCTGATCTTCGGTTACCTGGTGATTGGGAGTGGATTAAAACGGGCATTGGTGACAATCACTAATCTTTCACCTATGTGCACCATTTGTAGAAATATCGGATGCAATTTACATCTATAGCTTACATTTTCTTCGAATAATTCGCTACAATATTTGAGATGTTGCTTCCAATCATTCTACTATCATTCGCATCAGAATAGACTTTAAACTCGGGCTCCGCAAATCGGAACTTCACCAGTACAGGATAAATGATGAAAGACCCTCATAATCTAGCTGCAATCGAAATTCTATCAATTCGAAATTGTATCAGCCGAAAGGGAAAACAGCTTTTAACTTTTAATTGTTCTCAATAATCTACTACCACTCTATGCCGTCATACTAACATTTCATAATACCATTCCATGTCACCAACTTACCGTCAAAACTTTGCCGAGCAAAGTTTTGCCGCTCTGGTGGCCGTATGGATAATCTTTTGGAGAGTGCCAGTCACGTACCAGGAAGAGTAGCTTCTGTATAGGAAAAATTGAGAATTCTGAAACTCTCTCATTTGAAGTTTCGCGTCATTTTGGTGAATAAATGAAGAGCGTCTGAGCAAATATGAATGAAAAATTACACAATTTGAATCACACGGATTTGGAAAATTTTCCACACCGAAAAACAGTTAACGTTTTCGAATTTATTCTAACGCCGAATAGAATATTCACAAAATGTGTTTCGCTAGTATTAAAATACCATTGACATTCAATCACCAACAAAAACTGAGGCAGCGAGAAACCAAAATGTTGTTTTTGAGAGCAGTGAGCAACTCAGATTACAATTTCTGCTAACGTACGCGACTTTTATAGCCGTCATGGTCGAAACACTGCCCTCATCAGGTTTCAAGCACCGCATATGAGCAGCCCAGTTACGAACATTCAATCCCGAGCTTGCCGTCAAATGACGCTTTTGCTTTTTTTGACGCTTGCGCTTTGACGATGCATGAACGCATGCAGTGTGCATGTAGGCAACACTAGAAAGCCAACAGATAGGCATGCGGCCAACTGCCTGGACATCGATTTCGTGGCTGCTTAAAAGAGCATCTTTTCGATTCGTCCGTTCAAAAATCGTTGTAGGTATATAAATATGAAAATTAAACATTGTATAGTATTTTCAAAAAACCCTGTGAGATAAAAAATCATATAAATAATAATCTATGCTGTTACGATGTTTCCCATTAGAAATCATAACACTGTAGTCGTTCTAAACGAGGTACCAAAGTGTGCAGTCTGCATGAGTCACGCGCACCTTGCGGGTGACTACGTAACTACGTATCGTTCAATTCTTCAAGTCTTGGCTTCTCGATAGGGGAAGAAAGAAGTATAACAAGCCGAAAATATTGAGCTGTGTGCTCGAAGCTTAAATATTTTGGCAATTTTCAGTTAAGTGTTGCACAATTCTAACTGTCAAAATCTAAATTTTTAAATCACTAGGGCAACATTGTAAGAAAGGATTAGTGATCGTAAAAATCGAATTTTTAAATTGATTATTTTTTGGATCTGAGTAAGTTTCTATGAATTTTACACCTCGTCTTTCGAGAATTTAGTTGTTTGCTGTCATGCAGAAATACAGGAGTATCAAAATGCCAATTCACTACTGACGAAACTATGTAAGAAATGTACTTTTGTACTTTAATTTTTAACTTTTAGAATAAAGAGAGTGTCAAGGCACTTTTGTTCGTAACAATTGTTAAGTGGGATTTCCGTTGCTCAGAATCGTTCCCACTACCTTACCATTTCCATAAGTTTTGTCTTTGAGGAAAAATGTTTTATCGCCTAATGTATATTATTTGTATCGAAAAGTTGCGTCTCTCCACCACAATGACATGTCTAAAATTGAACGCGCATATTTTTCATAAATTTTTAATCCGTACAAAGTGAATTTCCCATTTTTCATTCAAAGATTTAATAAAAATGTTTCAATTTGATTAAAATATTGGGACTTCATTAGCTGAATTTTTTTTCATACAAAACTAACTTGTTGAGAAGAAGGAATGCACGTTTTTTGGGGACTAAATAGAGCATGATTCCTTTGACAGAGTCCTATTTTCCAGGTGTACTGTGTTAGACGTCTCATCGCAGAAATTTAACTCAAGTTTGCAGGAGACCAAACTCACCATCTTGACGCTGATCGAGATCCGGGAGCCCGTCGATCCGTCACATTTACGACACAAAAGCGACCAGTGTGCAATGTTCAACTTCTGAATTAGATTTTGCATCGGAAATCCCACTATGAGATTCCCAATAGGGAACTCCATAGCATTTCATCCGTGCGGCGAGTAACACTACGAAATACTTCAACAATAACTCGTCGCTTTTATAAACGCTCTACCAGTCTCCGTTATCGTCGCCTGCGTGGTGACCTCATTGAAGTATACAAGTATACTCATGGTTTGTACAAGGTCCCAGAAGGATTACTAGAATTTGAAACAAGAACCAACACCAGGGGCCACAGCTATAAACTAAAAAAACTGCGGTGCAACTCATCCACGCGACATTTCTTCTCGCTTCGGGTCACTGACATGTGGAACAGCATCCCTGAAGATATTGTTGACGCTCCGAGTATGAACGCGTTCAAGAACAGACTACAAGGCCATGCAAGAGCATATGTTTAGTCTTAAAATGCCTCGTACCTTACTGAACAACTGATATCTAGAACCGATTTTAAATCTACCGTCCGTTGAAAAGATCTGATCAAAAGGCCAGTCTAGTCAAGAAAAGTACAAGAATCGGCGACAGGCCTATCCAGGCCTACTCTTTAATGCCGAAGATACTATACTATACTAATAACGACATGAATCAAATAATTTCATTGTTATAAATGTAGCAGGAAATTCATGTAAATTGTCACATTGACTGAGTTCAAGCAATAAGGTTTTTTCTTGATACACGCCGCGTGAACACCAATCATGGCACTGATGGTTGTAATGTCTTAAGAAGAATAGGTAATAAATTAGTTCAAACAGTGAAATCAAACGTTGGCTGCCAGATGTAATACCAAGCCGAACAAAAACGAATTTAGTAGAGCGTTTTCGAAAAAAATTAAGTAAAAATGCGACTTCAGCTTACTTGATCTACAAACAACGATTTGCCAATTCTTATAAAATGCACTTACCTGAAATGCGCAGGAGTTTTGGTTGGTGGAGTTCCGCGCCAAGGTCCCGAAGGTGCAGAACGTCTGCAGGTTCATGAGGTCGTCCTCTTTGATGTTGTTCATCAGATTGTACACAGTCACGGAGGACGTCAGCAGCGTCAGGGCGAATATGAAGGTTGAATCCTTGAGAAATTGGAAATAGATTAAACTTTCACCGAAATACCGGCTGAATTACTTCAAGGGTTTGGTCCGTGCAGCCAAAGAAACGCCTTCCGTAATGGATTTTGAGACAAAAAACCCCCGGGCAATTTGAAAAACGGTTGTATTATGAGCGTGTTGTTATAGACACAACACTGAATCGTGGCATTGCTGTGGGATGCGAGTAAGTGGCTTCTTATTAACCGTACTAGCTTTAGGCGCTTATACACGTGGCTAGTATTAGCTGCGAGTATGCGCTGCAAGTTTCCACACTTCCAGTTTTCCGACTGAAAGCTTATACACGAGGAAAGTATTTGGTAAACAGTATTTTTGCATCCGCAAGTGCCAGTGCGTCGTTGGAAGCCGCCACGTAAGGTCCGTACATGGTGGAATATGGAAAGTAACTGTAATGAAGATTTGGAGGAGACGTTTGATGAAGCAGTTGGTGGCATAGTTGCCACTCTTGTTGAGGTGAAAACTTTGTGCGGCGTAGATTGTGGTTGAGAGACCTAATAAGGTCTCGTTTGAGTTTCAAAACACAACTTTCTCAATTCGTTTTTGATAAAATATTCACTGTGACGTACATTTCACTTCACAATAGATCGTACTTTTGGAATATCTATAAGAACATTCAATATCATCTGAACACCTTTTTACGTTCCTAGAACCGTCGTCATTTGGACAAGACATAGTTCATAACATTAGATACATTTGCCCCAAGCAGGATATAGAGCCTTACAGAAATGCATACTACGGTTGCCCAGCACTACTGCCTGACATGAGGCTGACGGCACAGCAACAACCTGAACTGCTACAGACGCAATAGCGTCAGCTACCTGCATCTGAAGAATAAATCATCACAAGGATGGAGTGTGAAAACTTGCAGCTAATATTAGCCCCGTGTAGAAGCGCCTTATGGCAGAAACTTTCCCTGCCAGAGACCCAGCAGCTCCTAAAGCTTGTAGTAGTAATAGCATAAATGAATAAGATAAAGCCTTATACATTTACTCCCTTATGCAGATACAATCAAGCGACGTCCTTCCTTCAATATTTTATTGTTGTTCGTTTAAAATGCTGAACGTTCTCACTATCAGTCTTGTTTTGACATTTTACGCGTTACGTAATTTTAAGAATCTATAAATGCAGAAGGTTTTCAATTTTCAGTAATTTGTTTTCATGTTTTCACTATTTGATTGTAATTGGATGATTCTGATCGAAAGAATCAGAGTATCAGCAGAAGTTTTATAAAGAAAATTATCATCAAATTTCGCTCTCATCTTTCGAACTTGATTTCGCCTTGGTCGATGAATTTAAGAAGTACATTTTTTAAATCGATTTAAAATTGATTGAATTCGTTTTTGTATTCTTTCTATGTGTTATTTAAATAAAAAATTCACAACCAGCTATCTGTTAACATATGAAAATTGAAATTATCGTTGACTAAGATTTTTGTTTT